AAACTGAAATCGTTTGACGTTTCAACTTTCCAAAATCTAAGCAGCCTCAAGAAGCTGTACCTTGGCAACAACTCGTTGTTGACTATACCAAATGAAGCATTCGCCGGTACTACCAGTCTGACTACCCTGGATTTATCAAGAAATTCACTTACGCATATTGGAGTGGAGCTATTCGAAAACCTCCCAAATTTGAAAACACTTAGAATAGACCACAACCCAAACTTGAAAGCATTTCCTGTAACAGTACTCGACTTTATCTCCCTAGATACACTTATTCTTTCAGGAAATACTTTCAATTGCAATTGTCAATCTGACGTTATTAAGTTGTCAAATATTTTCAAAAATGCAAGTAGCACATGGAAGCCTCCGAAATGTGCTAACACAATGGATTTTACAGCGTTAGAAAGTGAATGTAGGCATACAAATATTTCAGTTACTGAAAGTCAAACACTGTCTAACAAACCTGAAAAAACAACGAATCATGAAAGATCAACGAAACAAGAATATGATACAACGAATCAACTTGGAGTTACAAGGACGAATAAATCATCTCACATTATGTACGTGATGGTGGAACCAGCCCTGGTGATAGCACTGGCGATAGCCCTGGTCATACTCATTGTTTTTTGTCTCGTTTTGTGTCTAGTCTGCTTAATAAAAAAAAGGAAAACATGCCCTCCACAAGACCAAAGAGATGATGTAGGCCAACAAACGGCGACTGATAATCCTGACAGGGATAGAATGCAATATGTTTCCACAATTTCTTCATCACTGTTGACAGAATCACAGGAGCAAGACAGGTTGTTGTCTAGAAACTGTGGATATCAGAATAGTACAATCGTGGGAGACGAAGTGACTAATAGGACCAGAAACCACCACCAATACGACGTACCATACATACATGTACAGGTAGATTTAAATGCTAATCAATGTTGTGTTGATAACTATAAAAGAACAACAATGGTGTGAACGAAATGCCAGTCAACCACAGAATCTATACATGTATATAAGGTCTGCGATTAATTTTACATATTTTCTACATATCCATATGCCTGTGTATATTTATATCATATTAAGAAACTGCAAAAAAAAAATGTATAAAGAGGCAATGATGGTAATCGTAATTATCATAATTTACAGATTTTGGGAAAGATTTCCTAATGATGAAAATGTTACAATATTATTACTTTCGTTGTATGTAGGCCGATTGTATTCCATTCATCTCTCATTCAACAACTAGTATTTCTATATTAAGAGGTCAGGTCAGCGTAGTGTATAATGATACTACTGTTGCTGCTGCTGACGCTTACATATTAATATTTATTATACAAGAAAATATGCTCATGATTTAAGATTCAAAAACTTTTATTGTTTATATATAAAATATACGAAAATATTATATGCTTGGTAGATAAAATGATATTAAAACGTCAAAAATACAATCAGTAAAGAAGTAATTGAACAAAAGTATAATTATTGTATTCTATTCTTCTTTATATTCACAATCAACAATAAGCCTTTTTAAAATTTGTAAATGATAGTTGTATGTACAAGAAAATTATAACAATGCAGAAAGCAAAATTGAGGTGTAGTACCGGTACTTACGTTTACTA